GAGAAACGGGCCGATTTACGCAAACTAATTAACGTTTAAATATCGCACGATTGTTGAAAACTCGGCAATATAACGTGCATATGTGACGAAACAATAAAAAGTCAGATTGTTAAAATACATGGCTGGCTTTCATTGTTGCACTCGCACAATATTCACTCGCGAAAATCAATCGTGATAGCGCGAAATTTCATACGGCACTCCCGTAGGCGATGTAAAATACTGCGAAACGCACCGAGTGCGTTCGTATTATTAACATATCGTGCAACTTATCGCAATCCGGCAACTCGCACGTTATCTTGCATTCGGAAGCAACGACGGATAAATCACTTTTAAATTAACAATATTAAACGCGACGCGAACGTCGGAATCCAAGCACCTGCGGTAAACAAGCAGTTGTTCGTTCACAGCGGAACGATTTTACAATTCTTACTGTCAATCAATTTAATCCTTACGCGAAATGAATTACCCGAGCGAAACATCCATTGCGATAAACAGTCGCTATTGATTGTAACAATTCACCGAGACCACCTCCGATCACATTTCGAGATATAATGAAACGACGCGCATTAAGCAATTTTCTCTACTTCGTGTCTGTTCGAGCTGCAAAGTGCGACATAACGAATTGCAGTAAACAACGCAAACACCAAGGCCGCGTACCAGCAAATTTCTCTCTTTTCCCGAAAATGAAAAACAGATTGCACTGAAGTCGACAGATAATTTACAGCGCGATGCGTAAACGAGATGTAATCGCGACTAAGTACCACGGTTAACATTCGTATATTTTAAACGAGTCGGTCTCGTGAAATATCTACGTTGATAAACAGCCGTCGCCTCAATATGCAAACCGTTTCATTACAAGTTGCAGAAACTTAATATTTAGGCCACGATCAACTACAAATGCTTAAAGCGTTTCTCTTCCCCTTTTATCTTGTGCGAAAGGAAAAGAAAAGTACTTGGAAGCATTTGTAGCGGCGGTTTGACCGCAATCGACGATTACTTGTAACTAATAAACGTGTTCAAATTAATAGCGTTTTATCCCCGTTGCAATCGCGTCTCGGGAACTGAGGGTACTGTTACATTTGTCGTACGACCAATTTTTTAAGCGCGTTGATTGGCTACAAGCTAGACAATTTCTAGAAGCTCGATAACTTTTCTATTCCGCAGCCAATCGCTTGAAAACTTTGTCGTACGACAAAGTTTTTAAACAAAATTACCCGTATCTGGCTCTTATCCATTATTTCAAGTTGGCTGGTCACAAAAACGTTGACGGTGATCAATGAAAAAATGAAATATAGGTTTTGAAGATCAGGGTTGTCACTTTAATTTGACATAGAACAACTGTCTCGTTCTGTTCGTTTTTACGTATTAAAACGTCACCAATGTTACCAATCTGCGAAGGCGGTCATTTCATGCGCAACAACCTAAGTGTAACGTTAAATAATAACAAGGCTATCCTTAAACATTTGCGAAATATGATCGCGTTTCTACTTCAGTAGGACTGAATCTCGCGATCGCCGAAGCCCCTCGCACGATGCACCAGTCACGCGTCCGGCAGCGTCGCGAATGCCGAGGATATGCTTGCGCGAGATTCTGTAGAATTACGCGTTTATGCGATTTAAATCCGCTCGGGCGGCTTCCTGGCGTCCACGGATTCGTACGTGATGCAGCGGCCGCGGAAGACGAATTTTCCGGCTCATATATCCCGCTACCGAGATCCATATTTTTGCAGAATAAGCTTCTTATCTGCGGCCATACCGCGGACTACAAATTCCCTCGGGTCTCTTGCGCACGAGAGGTTCGCGAGAGAGGGATACCTGACTTATCGCGCCGCCGAAATTGTCGGGAGTTCTCGGCGAGGAAGCCTCACAACGACGTGCCCGTTGTACGATCGCGCGAGAAATGTGCTGAGCGTTTTACAAAAGCAGTTCTCACGTCGTTTCACCGCACACGCCGCCTAGCGCATGCAAACGTTTCATTTGCGCGCCTTCCGGGACGGTTTGACTGCCCGAGTACGTAAGATTTCAATTATCATTATAACTCGCGCACGACACGTCCGCTCATATATCATTTACCTACAATTCTATTTCTAAGCTGAGTGAGGAAGACGAAGATAGAAACGGATTAGATAGGATCGGAGGTATGTATACTCGGATAGCGCGGGGCCTTCGATTAAACATTTATTTAATCGCGACTGTCATGCATCATCGTGTCTAGTTAGGGGTATTATCCGTTCCGCGGCCGCCCCCGTCGAAGCATTGACATCACACCTACATGATACGGACGGCACACATGTACCTGTCCATCGTTAAATTGATCGTCCGTAAAAATAGTCGGGAACCCTTTACCGCCTGCGGTTAAAGGCCACTTCCACCCTCATTTCTCTCCCTCCTTGCTCTCGCTCTCCGCGCGGGCGTTTCTTCGGGCCACGGGCTCGTGAATCGCGGCAGAAATAAATCCCTACTTTCGTATTCCGCTCGCGTGGACTGTGCAAAGTCGGCGCCCCGTGTACGTGTGCATGTGCAACCACCGCCGCGTAATAACGCGGCGGAGTCGCGTGTCGAAGGCGCGGGCCCGCCGCGAGACGACGATCGCATGGAGCGACTTTGATAGAGTCGCCGACCCGATCCCAGATAACGTCGAACGATTAAATTCGCGACGCCGGGATCGCGTGTGTCTAGGCAACGCGACCGATCCCGTCCGATAAGTCCCTCTGTAACACTCGTACCGGGTGCGAGTGAGTCGTTCGAGGTGGACTCTTGCGAATGCACTCTTCGAGCATCTACAGCGGTTCTGCATCGTAATCGATCCCTGCACGGCGCTCGCGCCTCGCCGGCCTACTATCTCGCTTAACGACTGTCCGCGGCGATAAAGAAAGCGCGGGCCCTCTCGCTGTAATCTTTATGCATTCAGTAAGGCGCGATACTCACCGGAAAAAATGGAAGCAATGGCTGCGATAATGAATGAGAAGACGACACCAGGTCCGGCAACGCTGCGCGCCACCATTCCTGCGACAAGGTACATCCCTGTCCCGACGCAGGAGCCAACTCCTAAAGACGTCAGGTCCAGAGTCGTCAGGCACTTCTGCAAACAGGAATCATTTCGAACAGTTTAGAAAATCTGTATCCCTAAATAATGATGGGACCGAAGTACAATGCCCTAATAATTCATCGAGGAGAATTTATTTGTAAGATTTGTTCCGATCCATGCGCTAAATAATCTTTCTTTTTTTTGTTTGTTTACGAAGCAAACATTTATCAGTGTTATACTGACACTAAATTGCACTTTGCAACGCGGTAATCTATTTTCGCAAACTAGAAGCGGAAATATATTATTTGTTGTTTTATTCAAAACAATTAACCTAAATAAAAAATAATTCCGGGGAGTGATTTATTTCGGTATTACATCGGAATTGTTTTCCTTTTGCAATCAAAATAATTGACCCAGATAAATTATTGTTCGGAACATCGTTTTTTACCTCATACCTCGGGCAACAAATTTCTACAGACCATTTTTTTATCTGGCCACGTTCTCTTTGAAAAATCGCTGAATTGTGGAAAGATGTTTGACGTCGCGCAACCCATTACCGTCGATCGTAACTCGCAACGCCGGTCTAAATACATAACGGTACAGTAAATAATGTAGCGAGCGATAGAAAAGAGCGAGAAACGTGACCCCGTGTCGCTGCCGCTTTACGAGAAGGCACGACGGGGGTCTTTTTGCGGCGTTCTGCAGCCGTATGCATCTTTGAAGTTAGAGTAGAGACAATTGCGTCTTCTACTCGACTTCTTTCTAGAATGTCAGTGCCATTTTTGCAACTCGCCTCCGATAGTTATTAATAAACGCGAAGCCCTCCCGGGGGGGATTCTTTCTCACGTCGGCTATGGGAGTGGCTAAAATGCTCGGCACGTATAAAAATAAAGCGATCGCGAAGAGTTTCTCTCGGTGGGCACCTATCGTGCGATGATATTAACATTGCTGACAGTCACGGCAGAGAATGACGGACTCGGATCGAAGCGCTGCAAATCTTGTCCGACTCTAAGGCCAGTATTCATAGTCAGCTCTTACGTCCAAGACTGCCTCAAGATCATCTTTAGATACTTCTTCTTCTTTGTCTTATTCTTGCCACCCGGCTCTAACTCAGAGCCGACACGGCCACGTCGAATCAACAGTCGTTTGTGTATTACTTAGCTTCTAATAATTGGCAACAGGAAAATTTAAACCCAATCGACCCACCGCGTCGAGTCACACGTAAGTGAACAAAGTCAAAAATTTCCCAATTAGGTTGGGCAAAAGCGTCCGCTCGGCATTCCAAGCGGAACTATCTTCAGATACTCCGTAGCCAATGAAATGTTCCGTACGGCATCTTTAGATAAATTCAAAACGGTCTTGAATATAAGATTCGACTATAAATACCGGCCTAAATGCCACTCTTTTACTCGTATACAATTCACAGATACCTCGAACAATAAGTCAGACAAATCGTCTTTCGTGTAAACTCTTTCGTGACCACTGGATATAAACCTCACCTACAAAATTTTTTAAGACTCAATTATTTAGCATGCATTATATTACTAAAAGCAAACATTGTACCAACAGAAATAATGCGGTCAGAGAAAGGGTTAATCTCGCGGCTTTGATAAAACGTCCTCGTCGCGGAAAATAATGCACACGATAATAGCAACGTCGACGAAATCGTAAATTGTTGTCTCCTAATGCTTACGCGCGATTGTTATTTCTCTAGCGTCGCTTAGATTCACGTACCGTATCGCCAAAGCCACGTTTTCGATACTTTCATCGATACGAAAGCAATTTGTCTATTATTGAGGTAACACACGAGTCGCCAGATCGAATCAGCGAGACGGTGAAAAATCATGTGAGGTATCGACTGCTCGTTCAAAGATTCATTTATAATACAGGGAATATTTCGTTTCATCACGCATTATGTACGTCGCGTCGCGAAGACGATAGGTCGTTGACTGGCGAACAGTGCCCCGAGTTCGTTACCTGCGGTGTATATTGTGTATACGCAATCACCTTGTCACGAAGCCCGAGCCGGCAGGCAGCGGTATCAGCCACTTCGCACGTCGCAGTGTTATCATTAGAGACGCGGTTGCGACAAGTGGGCCAAGAGACACTAAATGCGATCGTCTCTCACGAGCGGTAATTATTACGAGCAGCGACGATCGGCCAATGATTCGCGAATGTAATGTGGGGTATCTACACTGTTAGAAATAGATCTATCACACATGTGTGAATATTAACACGTCACACACTTGAAATGCGTGAATATTAATGCGTCACACATATTTAATGCATAATTTTTCAAACGTCATGCATTATCCTCTTAACATGCGCGTGTGAAATACATTAGAGAATGTGTGGAAATCACACACTTCAATGTGTGGATTTTATCAAACATCTAATACTGTTTGAAATAGTCAAACATCGTAATATTCACACATGTGTAATATTTCTATACGTTTGAATATAACACACTTTGGGAAAATTCACACACTGAGTATAGTAACGCACTTGCTAGTTACACACTGATCAGTCGCATACTGCAACTACCCCAGACAACATCGTGTGAAATCAGTGCTCGTTGTAGATATCCTACGTGTGTTATCCCATCCGTTTTGTGCTTTGGACGATCGTGAATAAAGTGCCTTCAAGTCTAGACTGTGTCCTATTGCTAACATCTCGGAAACCTCGTTCTTCCTCTTTATTTCTGATTCATGCTCTTTCCGCTAACCTCCCGTTTCCCTAACCTAACCTAATCTAACCTTCCACTTGGATCGCATCATATAATGTAATTAGTTGTTTTAAACGGCAAGAAACGTGTAAAAAGTGCTTTCACCCAATTACATATGTGTATAATAGTAAAACACTTGGATTTGCAATGTAGTGTAATCTTTTTTACACATTTATTGGCACCTTGAAAATTACACACCTAAATAAGTTATACACCTCCATTTGTGTGAAAAGTCACACACGCCAATAAAATCAAACATCCATTCGTGCATGAAAAAGTCACACACTTACAGACGTCTTGAAACGGCGGACACACATCACATGCGATAAAGTGTGTGATATTCACACACTGCTTCTAACAGTGTAGCTACGCGAGTCAATTTATACTCATCCAAATTCAATCACAAATCTTTTTTCGCAACATCGAGCTTACACGAGCCACCAATGAATTTTCCACTGAACACATTTCACTTCGCGGCGAGCGTGGCGCGGAGAAATGTGCGCCGCTTAGTAAACAAATGAACGAAAAGATCAGAGTTCAAATCCACCACTGGTTTTTTTTCGGAATTTTCCGAAGGGAAGTGGTCAAGCACCGAGAGTATCCTGCAACACGTATCCTTCTAGGGGTACAGCCCTCCAGATTGAAAGTTTCCTTCGGCAAGGTTAGCAGCCTACCGAAGATGAAGCGAATGCTCAAAGCACCAGTTCGTTCTGGTACAGAACTGGTACAGAACGAACTGGATAAAACAGGCTTGTAAGCCTAACACGAGGAAGAAGGAGCAGAAGAAGACATTTCACTTTAAGGGCAATAAATTCATGATAGAACCGACAGACGATGCCTATATTAATTCAGCAGAAACAGCGCTATCTCGTATTAGGAGCTTGTCTCGTAACAGCGGACTTTCCTCTACATTTAAATACTGCAGCTGTGTATCTGCATATGTAATTAGTTATATTTTTTAATTCCGTAGCTATAACTGTAATTAGTTTGGTTTTTATTTCATATTTTATCTAAAGTAATATTGCCAGGTCAAAGATAACGTAGAGTCTTCTTCAGTATGTACCTCGTAATCATTAAAATATTTAAGTAATAAGTCTAATTGTAAGGCGTAAAATCTTTGCATAATGAGATTTTTGAAATATTTAAATGTAACACGGTTCTAACTTCTTCAGTACCAGTGGAACGTCTTTTTAATACCGGAGGGCAAATTTTAACACCAAAACTAAACCGTACGTCCGACGAACATGTCGGAGTATTTATATTAATAAAGAATAAAAATATTTTAATTATCATTTTCATTTAATCTATAATGTAAATATTATTGTACAGTTAATATAAATATATGTATATTATACAAACAATACACATGTACACAAATGTACAATAATATTTATATTATTAATATCGTATTATTATTACATATTATAAATTAGTTATTAAACGATATTAGGTACTTTCTATAGAATGTTGTATAGAATGTGTATACAATATATGTTTGAAAAGTGCAATGTGTCTACACTTATGTTTAAAATAAATAAATCTATATCCATTTATTCGTAAAATGTATATATGTACCTAGTTATATTTTTCTTCAAACAGAAGTAACTGTATCTAATCATTTGAAAAAAGTGTAGCTCTTACAACACCGAGAAATGTAATTTGCAGAACTTTCATTCGCTTCAAGTAGAGATCGACGCGATTGAGGATAGAAGTTAAATGATAATTTATGAGAATAAAAAATTATTGTTTACAGGATACACTCATGATAATTATTTCTCTAATGACGCTCGAATTCGAATAGCTGTTGCAATGCGCGCCGATTCCCTTTCGTTTGTTTAAAAATAGCTTGCCCGTCACCCCTGGTCCACAATCTTGCTTTAAATAAGCTGTAAGCCTTAAGCCGTAAGAAATTGACCAGTCACAGGCATTTATTCCCCTCACTCTCACCTGTGATTGGTTAATTTCTTACGGCTTAAGGCTTACAGCTTACTTAAAGCAAGATTGTGGACCAGGGGTCACGTTGCGAGCAAGATAATTTAAACAGAGCGGCGAGAGTAATTACGTAACATATAATAAAAACGGAGAATAGCATTTCTTGTAATTGCTAATAAAGCAAACGGGACGCGCAGATTAAAAACGGCGTTATAGTGGACGGGATCGCGTATCGAGTGTCACACGTAATTGCAAAAGTTGCAAGGTCTCCGATGGCCGGCGAATCGAATTATCTAGCACCGCGATATAACGTTACAATTAGTCAATTTCCATTGAGAAGTAATTGCGCGGTAATGATGGAAAATGCAGTTTGCGCGATTAGCGACGTCGGGTTTCGCAGAGCGTCCGGCATTGATCCGCCGGACTATCGTCGCGATGTTTGAAACACGAAGAGTGCAATATCGCGGATTAATGCAAATACTGCATGAATTATTGCCGGTGTAGGTGCACCCGTCTGACGCAACGTTGACGCACAACGTTGATTTATGCGTTGGCGCGCGATCGCGGGGGATTTTGACGGGAATTTTGACGGGATTTTTCGAAAGAGACACGTGAGAGAAATATATCGCTCTTATTTACGTTCGGTCTTGGAAATCAAATTTCGTCCTCAATTATCACAATTGAATCATAAGCAACGACGTTTCTCAAAGAAAGCTTTACGCGAGAGAAAACGTGGGAGACGTTACTTTTCCCGAGGAGAAAAATTAAAACGCGGACATTAAGCGCGAGGGTGGAGAAAGTCGAGCCCGAGAATTCGTGCGATCGAGACGTTTGCCAGACTTCCAAGTTAAGCCCGCATCAGACTACAGACTCCCGACTCAGACTCGACTACTGACTCGGACTCCCGACTATGATTCAACCAATCGCAGCAAAGCACCGGCCGACCCTGACTACCGACTCGGGAATAGACGCCACTCTAATTGGTTGAATCATAGTCGGGAGTCCGAGTTAGTAGTCGAGTCAGAGTCGGGAGTCTGTAGTCTGATACGGGCTTTAGCATACCTTCAACAAAGTTTTGGGTCGCGTTATTTCAGCTTGTTAAACCCCATTTAAAATAGAATCAATTAAGCTTATCGGTTGTGTCTCGTCAAGATTAATTGTTTGGGGAAGGCAGACGGGAAGAAGAAAGGGAGAGGAATACTTAAAGAGTAACAAACGGGGTTGGGATGACCCATCATGCGCGGACACTCCGGTTTTGATCATCGTTGCGTGGTCCTCTGCAATCCTGCATGCCTCTCGTGCCAAGCGAGCGAGCTAAATAACGAATGAGGATGCAGGTTGCTCGAGGCCGGAATTACGTGCGCGTGGTAAGTACCGGAAGTTCCCCCGCGGGAGATCATTCGGGTGGGTCGTCCCGAATGTCGTTACACTCGTAATTCCTGAGGTCACGCGCGCACCACTTTCGACGAAAGCGGTGCACGGTGCATTTCGCGAGCGACAAAACCAGCGAGGCGCAATTTGTTTATCCTCGCCCGCCGGAAACTCGCGGCGCATGTTACATCGACGGGCGAACGGATGATGTAAATTACGGGCACTCGGTGCCTTGTAGCGAATTCGGTTGCTTGCACTAGTGCGCACTGAGTGCACACTAAGGCTTGTTTGTAGTCAGTTCTTATATTTGACTTCGTCTTAAAACACACGTTCAAAGAGTGTTTAGTCAAAAACTGATCGGTGTAAACGATGTACAGACCATTTTTCTGGATAAGAAATATTGCAAGAGGTATTTAAGATGATCTTTAAATATGAGAACTGACTGTAAACAAGGTTTGTGCACTCAGTGCGCACTAGTGCAACCAACCGACTTCGCTATTAGTGTGTCAATAAAATATGCGCGTGCGAGTGAAACGCGAGAAATGAAAGTCGATATTATTCTATCTTTTCGAAGACGTTCCGTAATCAGCGAGTTTTTTTCCCTCTGTTGTGCGACAAATAATACTCGCCGCGATTCGACGAGATTCAAATTGAAGAGTCGGCAATTAAAACCTGCTCCCCCCCCCCTCTCTCTCTCTCTCTCTGTCGTCGGAACGAAACGATCGTTTAAGCACCGTCGACAAAAATAAATCGTCGATCGGACAATACTCCTCCCCCATTTTCAGTGACAATCGCGTAACGAGCCACGCTTCTCCCGTGTTTTCTCTCGGGTGACGGTCCCCTTTTTCCCCCCCATTCTCGTCGCGTGCTACTTTCGCATTAGATAAAATTTGCTTCTTAGCCAGAGGAGACGGCTCTCCGCGTGTCTGCGTTCGTACGTACGTACGCGTCCGTGTGTATCGGGCTTGTGCTATTTTCCCGCGAGAAGTGGATCGGTTATTGGGAAACTTCGCGGCAGTTTATGCGCGCTGCAACTGCGGGGCCGTCCACTGTGAGCAAAGTAACGGGCTTTGCAGCGACTGCCTACGCTGCTGGAGAACGGAAGTTTGCCGCGTCTCTCTTTCTCTCTCTCTCTCTCTCTTTTAGCGCGCGACATGGGCTATCGAAGTAACAAAATTACTGTAGCCACAGTGCCATCGTAAACATACATAATCAGTGTACAGGGTGTCCCAATTTTATGTCCCGCCCCAAATAACTTTTTTATTTTAGTATGTAAAAACCAGTACGACTCGTTGAGAAATTACAGGGCACCGCGACATGTCCTTTCGTGCGCCACGCGCATTTACTTCTTATACACCCGACTAGGTCGAGTTGGACTCCGCGTCCCCGAATATGCGCCGACCTGGCCGTTTTAAAATGTGGGAGCGCTTTAAGCTTATTGGGGCAAAATTTGCAACAAGCGAAACGATGCCTCCGTCGTTTATGTCGCGCGAGATTATGTTTTTATAACCGCGCGGCGATATTTGCGAGAGAATAATAATTTTGTTAAGGCAAAAGTTAACGGAATGTTTCCTCCCGCGGGCTTCCATCAGCGGGTCCTTTATTTTCGCAGTTCGAAAAGTTAGCGCGTCGCTCTAATTGATAATTAGGAACAACGCGCGCTGTTAAACGCCCGCCTCTTTCATCTACCCTTACACTCCGCTTTTAGTTACCTCTCTCCTCATACTAATCTTCCCGGTTTCCTTTGCTCATTTGTGCGGCAATTTCGGCAAGCAATTGGCGGAAACGTAACGTCCCCTTAAGAAAAAGAACTGAGCAGCTGTACCAGTAACTGATGAAGTTGAATCAGTAACTTGTGACGTTCTATCAGTGACTGATTACGAGAGTCAGTTACTGGTAATGCTTTTCAGTTGACTTGCAGTTTTAATAATCAGTTTCTACAATACACTAAAAAACTGGTTAGACACTGAGTGTTGCCATCAGTAACTGATGACAGTTTTTTTTATCGGTTTGTCAGATACTGATTATATTCTTCAGTTGACGCCCAGTTTTAATAATCAGTTTTTATATTAATCTAAAAAACTAGTTAGACACTAACAATAAGTGTTGCTATCAGTAACTGATGGCTGGTCCTTGGTTTTTAATGGTTTCTTAGATACTGATTACCTATGTTCTTCAATTGATATACAGCAGATTTCTTATTTGTCAAAGGCTAGTTTATACAACTGGTGAAAGGGAACTGAACTGACAATGACAACTGGGCACTAACTGACTGGATAACTGATTATTGTAACTGACGACAGCACGATCAGTATATTGAAACAAGTTACTGATAAAAGAAACAGATGTACCAGTTACTGATAAAAAACTGGTCAATATTGGTCCAGTTTTATATTGATCAGTAACTGATAGAACTTGTATGCTGTTCAGTTGATCAACCGAACAGCATACAAGTTGTATCAGTTACTGATCTATATAAAATTGAATAAAACTGGACCATTATTGGACCGGTTTTTTATCAGTAACTTGTTTCAATATACTGATCGTGCTCTGTCATCAGTTTCAATAATCAGTTATCCACCAGTCAGTGCCTAGTTTTTTTATCTGTTTTGGCTGCATTTTTTCTTAAGGGTCTAGCCGCTATAATGAAGACACGACGAGCCGAACTCCAGGACGGATTCATAATTTAAAACACACGCTTGGGAATTCTAGTTTTATCTCTCGTGGATCCCGTTGCGATTGAATCTTGCACCGCTAACAATTATATTATTATCAGTACGTTCGTTTACCTGTAATTTCTGCTTGGAGTCGGCTGGATGAAGTGGCTCGGGACCGGTTTTGGGCTGGTCACCCTGCAGACTTTCGATGTTCTTTGTACGTATCAGCTTGCCGAAGAGCTCGAGGCCCTTCTCCCGGTCCAGATCGAGCTTCATTTTTCTGCAAATTAAGGGCGAGCAAATCATTATACATCCACGCACCTTCGGAAGGGAAAGAGAGCGGCTCGCGCAATAACAGACGAGTGCCTTTGACCGCCGTTTTCCACAAACATTCCGCCGGCACAGGCAGGTGAAAAAATATTATATATTACGCAGAAAACGCATCGGCGAAGGGATGATCGGGTGATATGATAGAGCGAGGTTCCCAGCATCGCGTCTGTCAACTGTCTGCTGACGAAATGAGGGAAAATAATGAGAGAGCAAATACGGGCGCGGAAATGTATGGACAGTCACGGCGTTTGTTGAACGGGGTGTAAAAAGACATGTACGCGGTCGAGGACAATTACGCTATCCGCAGATGAGATAAAATTGAACGTACCGTTCGGATGTCTAAGTTCATCCGGCAAACACGCAAACTGAAATGCACCCGTACGCGCGCAAGAAGTAATTAAAAATGTGATACCGATATGTGAGATTGTTATTTCCAGCGAAGGGTTAATAATATCTGTCTGAACATGAGCCCTTTACGGGATTAAAAATAGCTTCTGCGGCGCAGAGAGAGTAGTTTAAAGGTTATCAAATAAACAAGAGTAAATAAGTCAAAAGAGTAGTTTATCGTGGAACTTCCGGATCGTCTTTGATACACAAGGCAATAACGAGAGACATTTTATACCGAAGAATAGTATTGCGAGCAATAAGGATAAGATTTCTGTCTGCGAAATGCGCGTGGCAGACAAAATATTCATAATAAATCAGACGATTCTGTTCTTCTGCGCGTACGAACGGCACGGGCGTATAGTGACACAAACGGGAACGATTCGCAGGAATAGTTACGAAATTTGCTTCATCCGACAAATAATACCCATCAGGCGAACGCGAAGCCGTATAAAAAAAAAAGAAACCGTTAACATCGGGTTTCATCCGTCATCCCGTCCAAAAACGACGTAGCCGCGAAGAGATGGCCAACTCCGACGTACAATCGAACGGCAAATCGGCCGTTTCCGGTGACAAACGAGCTCTGAAAAAAAAAAAACGTCGCCGACATACGCGGCCCTCTTTTCTCCGGCTCGCTTGTTCCCAGGGTCGGAGGTCGCGCACATGAATTATCGATTTATTATCTAACGACGTTGCTCCTCAACGCGGCGCATCTCTTTCGCGTTTTCTCTGACGGTGGTTTCTCCTGCGAGCTTACACGAGAATGAAAAATTATCGCGCGCTTGCTCGTGTCACCCCGCGAAATTATTCCTCGTTTACCGAAATCGCGACGTCGAGGTTTTAATCGATTCCGTCGTTCGACTGCTGAAAACATGAAATTTCCATAGAGAATTCCTCGATCCATTGTAGAATAGGTCTGGAATAGATTAACGAAAGTACGTAGTAAGGGGAAAGTGCCAATGCGAGCCAGAAAATGAACGGAACTCGGTTCTCACAACGTGAAAGTCAAAATTTCTCTTTAATAAGAAACGATTTTGTTAATGAGAAATTTTGACTTTTATATTGTGAGAACCGAGTTCCGTTCATTTTCTGGCTCGCATTGGCACTTTTCCCTTACTACGTACTTTCTTTCTGGGAGCCTTCACTGCCCTTTGGAAGATTAACGAAAATTTAATAGCCGGCAGATTTTATCTCCTGAAGATATTAATTTGAATTATTTAAAGGAATAAAGGACTAAGAGCCGTGGCAAGGTGTTAATGTCTAAATATTTCATATTTTAAATTTATAGTAATTTATTTAGAAGCAGGTCCAGGTTCAAACCCTGGCTGAGGTAATATTTTTCGCAATAAATTTAAGATATGAAATATTTGGACATTAACACCCTGCCACGGCTCTTAGTCTTTTATTCCTTCAAATTTGTGTTTATCACATTTGAACCATACCAATTTTATTGAATTATTTAATTTTCAGTATTTAAGAAACGTTACGACAAACGTGGCGACACCTCCCACTGGATAGAGGGTTCGATATTGAGTTGAACTACCGCGAAAGAAATGATTTCTACAAATTGGCGTGGGAATGTCAAATGGATATTCTGTGAAAGTTCCGGCGAGGTGTCGCCGAGCGTCGGAACGATTACTCGTTCTGCTACCGTCACTCGAACTCGATTAAAATATCGCACGGCAGGACTGTCGTTTATAATGCAGACGCGATGCACTCTTCACGGCGGATTATGCAAACAGCGAACAACCGGGATAATCGCCGAACGAGTGAATGAGAAGGTACTCGGTGTATTAAAGGGAATAAATTATTCAGAGGATATACGCGTGGGCGAGCTTGAAAGTAAATTTTACCTGCCTGTACCGAAGATAATGGATTTTCAAGATACGCGCGGAATTTTACCCAAGAGTCACCGAGAGAGAGAGAGAGAGAGAGAGAGAAACTGGCACGTACGGCACGCGTCATGCTGACAAGTCACGAAATCCGTATCGTTTGGAACAAACGCGCGAAATTTCCCAGCAGAGATGCAAACTGCACCATCGGAAACCGTCGCGACCAAGCTGAGGTCTCAAAAATACATAGATTTCAACCAAACTAAAAATATGTACACAGTCAGACGTATCTCCGCACCTGTTAGGCAGAACGCGCAAATTTGACTGCTCAAAAGAATAGCAATTGCATCTTTATATCGCATTATTACAATATTTCGGCGCAATTCTCCTTACATTCCCTCTGTATCTTTTGCGTACTTTCTAAAAGTCAATCAGTGGATTATCATTGAAAACAGTGAACAGTCACTGATTCGCAGTTATAAGCAAACCACTGAAAATCGCAGTGGTGAATCAGTGACTATTCACTGTTTTCAGTAATAATCTACTGATTGATTTTTAAGGAGTAGAAATGCGATTTAATTCCATACGTTACTACTATCAAAATATATTTATCGGTAAAAATGCGCACGTGAAAAAAATCTCTATCTTCGGTTTCGAAAATACGCCGATTTCAACAAAACTAAAAGTATGTAGGATATACAGTCAGACGTTTCTCTGCACCTCTGTTAGGCAGAATACGTAAACTTTACTGCTTAAAAGAATAGTAATTACATCTTTATACCGCATATTATAATATTTCAGTGCAATTCTCCTTACGTTCCTTCTGTTTTGCATAGAAAGGCGATTTTATTCCATACTTTACTATTATTATCCAAATATATTTATCGGTAAAAATGCCTACGTGAAAAAAATCTCTATCTTCGGTTCCGAAATCTGCGCAGTGCATTTAGCGAAAATATTGAGGCGGCCGGCAAGATCGAAAATCTTGCGGCAATCCCGACCACATTCAATATGAAAACTTTTCTCCTCGCGTATCCATTAAGTAACATAAAAGCAGCTTTTAATAATGTAGGTGCGATTTTGTGTCAAAGCAACAGTGGCGGATTCGCCGCGAAATCGACCGACCGTATAATCGAGCCTTAACGTGGCAAAACGTAATTAACCTTTTGTACGTTGCTCGTGATATCTCATGTCGGAACATCAACCGTTCCTTTACGTCACTTCTTTCGTGTTAGGTCTTGTCAACGCGCTGCGGGATGCCATTGCGAAATGCAAATGTATCATTCTCAATCGACTTCTCGTTTTCTCGTTAGCGAAAAACTTGGATCGCGCGCGTGGCATTTTTATCTCCATCTCATTTCATTATTTATCACGTCTATTTTTCTTCCGTGATGGAGTGTGAAAATATTTAAATGCGTTAAATAAATGTTCCCTGCATACACGATTGTGTTTCATATCACAAAAAAGCGGCTCAAAAATTAGTTCATGAAAGATTTTTTTTTCAGATATTCTATCGCGAATAAAATTAAAGTCTCTATATTGAAAAATGTACAGATTATTATTGCAACTACCGTTAGATACGTACGTTACGTAATTTGCAAATGTAATAACAAAATGTGGGTACATTGTGTCGCGATTCGTTATCACTGCTCTTTGCTCTTCAGAGGATGTCAGCTTTAAAAGTGACGATAATACGATACGACGGTACACGTGAACGTGCGGCAGACACCGGTGGATTTAAAAATACTGGCCAGGTGAAGTCCTGCTCGTACGGGAAATTGCAATTCGCAAGATACGCGAGAGAAAAATGATATCGCGGCTCCGTTCCATCGTAACGCGATCTCTTCCGACGATATCACGCGCGAGAGTTTTTAATTAAGAACAGGGACGAAACGGAAGCGCGCGCTCGTGCCGCGGCTTATCGCGCCGAGACCGTCGCGACCAGCTAAGGGGATCCCTCAGCCATCTTTTTTACCGACGCAGTCAAATATAGTTTTTGCGCTTGTAATTCGTTTTATTAGCTTTTGTGCACAAAATAATACCAGGATCAGTTGCGGACTGCACAGCAAAACATTTTCATACTCAAAACACTCAGTTCAGGAGGCTAGTGAAAAAGATATTGGTATTTGAAAGTTTCAATTCGTATAGTTTTAACTAAATTTAAAATTGCCTTTGTAAAATTGCAAAATTCTTCCACACAACTAAAGTACACATAAAGACAAAACCAGGGACAGTCGACTTTATATAAAAAAAGAAGAGAAATTAAAAATATCGCTTTGCAAATGATTGAGGCTAGCTAATCTCAATTACGCACGACTGTCCCTGCTTTTGTCTCTGTGCGTACTTTAATCGTGTGGAAGAATTTTGCAATTTTATAAAGGAAATTTCAAAGTTAGTTAGAACTACGAATTGAAACTTGCAAATACCAATATCTTTTTTATTAGACTTCTGAACTGAGTGTTTTCAGTATGAAAATGTTCTGCTATGCAGTCCGCTACTTATTCTCGCATTATTTTATACATAAAAGCTAATAAAAAGAATTACAAGTGCAAAAACTATATTTGACTGCGTCGGTAAAAAGGATGGCTGAAGGATCCTCTAAAGAGGAATCCACCACGGACTCCTCACAAGTCGAAACGGCAGAAAACTGTTTTTTAAACAAAATTCCCTTCGTTTAAATCTCGCTTCACGAAGAGTTTTCCGTTGGACGCAGAACTTGTCGAGCAGGCAGGGC